CCGTAGTATAGGTCGATATTTGTAGGGGAGTACAAACCCCTCCTGTCGTACGTCATAATCTTCATCAACTCATATCAATATTTCACGCATTTGAAATACACGTAATAGTAGGTGAAAGCTTTTCCGTTAGTATATGGATAGGTAGCCTACAGAACCACATTTACAGCTGCTTTTAAAGGTCAATTATTATTTAAATATGCGTTCTAGTCAGCATTAATAACGAGAGTGATTTAGTATCTCGAAATGGAAAAAAACACAAAACCTGCCACGTTATAACATTATTAAGATACAGCACCGATTTGTTGTACTATTATATTTTATATATATTCGCATAATATTAATTGAAATTAAGAAATCGTTTTCGACCCATAATATATATAATAATAAAGCGTGTAGTCTATCTGTTTGATGTAATCGCTCAACATTAAAATTAAAATCACATAAATATGATTCCAAGCATGAGCTTCACCTGAAATGCTTTGAATTAAATGATATCTATCTGATAGCACGAGTCGAAATTTCATTGGCTAATGTGAAGTATTTTATCTCTTCTTTGAGATTTTCTGTTAATTACGTGTTACTGTTATCAATTATAAGTGGTATTGGGTACACTAAATTAGTGACTGCCTGTGTGATGCGTTTAGCTACACAATTTATTTTTCTAACGCATAAATAAATTAATTTCTTATTGAATCAATTTATTACAATGTGAAAAATAAGCATGAGAAAAATTGATTTTACCTAAATCAATCGCAACCCATAATAGTTATCATTGCTATTTTGTAAATAAAACTCACCAGTTACATTCGGTTTGAAAAACGGGAAATGTCAAGTCTTACCTGAAACAAAAAAATTAAATTTATTACCTGGTACAATAAATTCAATTAAGTATGTGCTTTCAATACAGCGAGAACCTGTTAAAAACAGAGAACATAGCGNCATAAAATACCAAGACAAATTTAGCAGGTACAATCTCTTACATTGTATATTTTTCAAAAAGAACCGGGCAACAGCTATATAGTTTTTGAATATTTTTGTTAGGAAATTTGAACAATACAAATTCGATTTCAACCAGTAGTTGCGCTTAATAACCATAAACAAAACTGAGTCGTATTTGAACATTAAAATCTGACCAAGTTATTATTATAGGATATCTAAAAAAAAAGCGTTTTGATAACAATATTTTTTTTTTCACCTTTCAACTTATAATAGTTATAGTTGAGACGAATAAAATTGCCATAGTCCAATGTGAGAATCAACTTATATTCTTTCTTGTTTCCACATGCACTCCCATAGTCATACACTACGATTTGAACACGCCCTTGTTAAATTAGGAAATGCTTCATGAGTAGTACACACAAAGTGAAACGAGATAACCGTACAACAGTAAGCGGTAAAGTCCGATGCTGACAACATGCTTCTGCCTATCTGCATCTCTTTTTGTTATACATCAATTGGTGTAACGTTATTCCTTTTTCTTTATTAGTGTCTGCTGCAATTCTTACCTGACATCGCTTTTCTGTTTACGATATTTCCTACATCTGTCGATGTCGTGAGTAAAACTAGGCATTCTGTTAGCAACTGCTCTAGTCTAGTTAGTAAGTTGAAAGAAGAAGTTAAACAATTTTATTGCGGACTGTAGTTAACTGTTTGATAGGGCTTAATGAGCAGGTGAAAAAAATAAGCATATATCAGGAGAGAAATTCCTGTAAACAATCTGAAAAGAACTAAAAATTTTATAATTTGCTCAATAAATAGGGTACTTTATTATTATACACTTTTTCTGATAAATACAACTATGTATTCCTTAACTTTTCCATGATTTAGTAGTTCTCCGATGGTTCTGGGATTTCCAGGCTAATTCCTATTACATTGTTATTTCATGACTAAAAATTCACCCAAATAACTCTGTATCTATATGAATTCCTTTCAACTCGTACAATAAATATATCATGGCATCTTAACCTTCTAACTGAGGTCGTCTTACGGTGTGACGACGGAAGCACGATTGTATTCACTTGAAGTTAAGCGAAACAAAACAGGCTTCATACACAAAGCAAGGTCCTCAAGCCGTATGTAACACTTCAACTACAATAGTATAGATACTAAATACAGGATGACCTATGGTATCCTTTTAAAACAAAAATTTCCGAGAAATAAGCGGCCTGATAATTATTTTTATAAGGAATATCGCATTACTAGTAGAAAATCGTCACAAAGGCTCCCCAGTTTTTCGATAACGATTTAGGTGAGTTCGTCCTTCTATTTCGAAAATGTCTGCGAAATGCATATTGGAAATTGTTCCAGAATTTTAGTGCTAGGGCTCATTCAGATTTCTATTATTCTTTTGAGTCAAAGCGAAAATTAGTTATCTTGCTCAATGTTAAAATAAATTTCTACGCAATTGCGAATCTATTTACACTGAATATTTTTATGTATTTTTCCATTAGTTTTACCTTTGAATATTATTTAAGAATGACTATATAAATATTTACATGCCTAGAAATGTATAAAAATTGGCATGTTCATTAACTTTGAACCCCCATAACTTTTTATGGGGGTGAGACCGCCACGAACTTTTTATGGTACAGTGGTGGGGGAGACCTCCTCTTTTGATATGCTTTTGTGTCGTTGCGATTTACTGCATGCAGTAACTCGTGTCGTTATCGCGCTGTGTGAAAGCGGCCTTACTTTCGATTAATTCCTTGAACTGGGTAACATTTTACGTGGCGATGTTAACAAATTGCAATAACTCCATATTTTCAACGTTTACGCGATAATGATATGATTTATATTCGATATAATACAAAGGCTCATTAATAGTACGATGCAGTTTGATTGCGTGAGTGTACGTAACTGTATGTATTTACGTACTAGACCTTGACACCTCAACCCAATAACATACAGCTCACCGTGGTGTTTGTTTGTTTGTAAAACTATTACATGTAATTATGTACCTGCGTATGTGTGTGTGTACATTTCCCATATAACATATATGTATACATATATTTTTATAATTTGTACAGAAAAATAATGTTTCATTTCAATACATGTGCAATTGCCCTGTATGCGAATAATTCGCATTGGTTGCTAAAGCAGATTTCTTTTACACATACAAAACATTACATTACATTACATTGGTAAATTAAAACTACAAAATACATGTGCGTAATACATCTCGTATGATCAGGATAACCCAATGGACTTGTACAATCAAAATAGTACTTTTACTGCGTAGCACAACACTGTGTACAAGACTTAATTTAACCTTAACCTACACATAACCCGTGTTTATGCAGATTTTCTAAATTATTCAATTTGAATATTGAAACCGATACGTGGGCGCCCATTTCTCATGAAAGAAAAAAATGTACTGTTTTCTAAAATTCTCTCCGAACATCCACTGCGTATCCTTCCTTTGAACTTTTTTTTTATTAGTACTTGTTTTCAAGTTCCAATCTGCTTCAACGCCTGCACACAAACCATAAAATACCAAGACAAATTTAGCAGGTACAATCTCTTACATTGTATATTTTTCAAAAAGAACCGGGCAACAGCTATATAGTTTTTGAATATTTTTGTTAGGAAATTTGAACAATACAAATTCGATTTCAACCAGTAGTTGCGCTTAATAACCATAAACAAAACTGAGTCGTATTTGAACATTAAAATCTGACCAAGTTATTATTATAGGATATCTAAAAAAAAAGCGTTTTGATAACAATATTTTTTTTTTCACCTTTCAACTTATAATAGTTATAGTTGAGACGAATAAAATTGCCATAGTCCAATGTGAGAATCAACTTATATTCTTTCTTGTTTCCACATGCACTCCCATAGTCATACACTACGATTTGAACACGCCCTTGTTAAATTAGGAAATGCTTCATGAGTAGTACACACAAAGTGAAACGAGATAACCGTACAACAGTAAGCGGTAAAGTCCGATGCTGACAACATGCTTCTGCCTATCTGCATCTCTTTTTGTTATACATCAATTGGTGTAACGTTATTCCTTTTTCTTTATTAGTGTCTGCTGCAATTCTTACCTGACATCGCTTTTCTGTTTACGATATTTCCTACATCTGTCGATGTCGTGAGTAAAACTAGGCATTCTGTTAGCAACTGCTCTAGTCTAGTTAGTAAGTTGAAAGAAGAAGTTAAACAATTTTATTGCGGACTGTAGTTAACTGTTTGATAGGGCTTAATGAGCAGGTGAAAAAAATAAGCATATATCAGGAGAGAAATTCCTGTAAACAATCTGAAAAGAACTAAAAATTTTATAATTTGCTCAATAAATAGGGTACTTTATTATTATACACTTTTTCTGATAAATACAACTATGTATTCCTTAACTTTTCCATGATTTAGTAGTTCTCCGATGGTTCTGGGATTTCCAGGCTAATTCCTATTACATTGTTATTTCATGACTAAAAATTCACCCAAATAACTCTGTATCTATATGAATTCCTTTCAACTCGTACAATAAATATATCATGGCATCTTAACCTTCTAACTGAGGTCGTCTTACGGTGTGACGACGGAAGCACGATTGTATTCACTTGAAGTTAAGCGAAACAAAACAGGCTTCATACACAAAGCAAGGTCCTCAAGCCGTATGTAACACTTCAACTACAATAGTATAGATACTAAATACAGGATGACCTATGGTATCCTTTTAAAACAAAAATTTCCGAGAAATAAGCGGCCTGATAATTATTTTTATAAGGAATATCGCATTACTAGTAGAAAATCGTCACAAAGGCTCCCCAGTTTTTCGATAACGATTTAGGTGAGTTCGTCCTTCTATTTCGAAAATGTCTGCGAAATGCATATTGGAAATTGTTCCAGAATTTTAGTGCTAGGGCTCATTCAGATTTCTATTATTCTTTTGAGTCAAAGCGAAAATTAGTTATCTTGCTCAATGTTAAAATAAATTTCTACGCAATTGCGAATCTATTTACACAGTTTTATATATGAGTTTTCTTCATTTTTTTCAGGAAAATCTGCCCACTCCAGAACCTGCAGAGTCCAATGAGGATGAACATATAGGTGGTGGTAAGTTATAAGTTATATCATATACCTACTCAATTATTTCTTCATTCTTTCATCATTATTAGATATTATTTGATTGTAATCGATTTATTCCTGCAATATATATAATACTGTCCTCCCAGGCAATCGAGAATAGCTAATAATAACACAATAAAAAAATGTGCATTATTTTACGTTATAAACAAATTAACTACGATAATTACATAAAGATACTTGTACAAAAAGGGCCATGTATAGTAGCTTGGGAAGGCAGACAATGGTAGTGCGGTACAAATTATTCCCACTGTGTATCCCTAAAATTAACTAAAATTAGCGTATTTTGAATTATGTGTAGCAGGGTTGGTAGTTGCCGCCTTTTTTCATGTTTGTGTTGCTTTGCTATCATTTCAAAGGAAGCAATGTAAAACAATTAACTTTTTCTAAAGATGTAGCAGCTAATATAGGGATGTAATGACAATTTAATATGTTATCAATTTTGCAATTGTTTTTGTTGATTTTGTAGTAGTAGTAGTAGCAGCAGCAGTAGAATTATTATCAATAAATTTCAAACTTATTATTTCGCTTTGGCATAGTTGTGGAACAGCGGAATTTAAATTTTTTGATTACCTTTTATATGAATACATACCTACTGTTAATGTTCACATAGAATAATGATACGATTGCAAAAGTCTAAATTGGAATTAAATGTAATTTAGTTTTTTGTATTCATGTTACATTTACCTACACCTGCACAATGCAATAACAAATACACCTATGTATGTACTTTAAATTGCAATACCAACTAAAGTATAAGTTCCAAATCATTTTTACTGTTGAAACAAAATAAAGCACTATAATCCAAAATTGCACATAAGGCGTTTGAGGATGTCACATTGAACGTCGAAACACACTAATTTTTTTAGTACTTTTAAGTTATAACGCTCTAATTAGTTTAATTCCTATAGAGATATAAGAATAGAACGCGTCAACGTGATGCTCAGAAGGAGAGAGAATGCTGCCGAGAGGTTCCTATTGCTGTTCTTTTGCAGTTAGTCAAGTATGCTCACTAAACAGTATTGAAAAGCAGAAACAACCTGTCTGCGCATACTTGTCTTACGAAAAGAAGATAACAACAAGGGCTTCTACGCAGATTCAATCCTAGCATCACAGTTGAGTACTTGAGTACAAGTTTGGGGATGGTGATGGAGTGACGCGTTGTATTTTTCTATTTCTATGTCAGCTGTACAGAACTCTAGTTTATTCCCTTGTACTGTTGAAACACTTATTAAATTTAAGTTTTTTTGTTAGGATTTGCAACCCTGAAACAGTTTGATTATAATAAATGATGCCTAGGTAAAAATCTACAACAAATTACTGTACACATCTAACATCTATGACTATATACTTTTAGTTTAAAACTTTACATTTCACGCTTTTTTTTGTTTGGGCTATTTTATTAATTTAATAGCACTACCCTTTTGCTTCGTGCAATTCCGAAAAGAAATGAGCAATTTTTGTTTATTTATGTTGTTTTCAATTCGTAAGCCAACCCTGCTAATATCGTGGTATAATTGGCTGTGCAGGATCAGCGAGTATGAAAGACACCGACAAACTGAAACTGATGTTGTTGGCATGGAACTACCACAACCAGGCTCAAGGTAAAATAATTTCATTCGTTTTATTAAACATACACTTATACTTTTTTTTTTTTGAATTCCACATTTCATCACTTAGTTTTAGAACGGGGCATATGCGTTATTTGAGATGTTACAGGAGAAGAAGATCATTGGGAATATTATCTAAAATCTGAGATACATGATGACAGTATTTAATAGTTGAGCTGCTGCTTTGACTTTTATAACTCGTAAAAAATAATATATACAATAGAATTACGTAGTACAAATCTCGGGTTATTGATATCTTTTTGGATAAAGATATCGTTCGTATTTTGGCTTAAAAATGATTAACAAACATTTTTTCTCTACTAGTTCTTGGTCAGTGGTCTGTTGAAAGCGTCAGACGTGGATCTCTTCTGCACGCCATAGACAGTTCCGATAGAATATTAACCGATTTACTTGCTGTCACTGAGCATGGTGAACGCCATCTGTAGAAATTTGAAGTTAATTAATGTTTGACAAGGTTCAGTTTAACGATATTATATCCTTAATTGAACATTAATGAACTCATAAAGAGTAACAAATTTCTAATAGATTGCGTATACTACTATTTGAGAATATTTTGATTTAAATTTTCGTAAATATTGCTCTATTGCAGTAGCGTGGAAGAAGAAATTTCAAAAATATGTTTGCATGATACTATGTAATTTGAAATAAAAGAAAAATCACACAACACTGGGTGGAATATTGCACATAAAGTCCACACAAATCTCCTGCTAAACTGTCTCTAGCATCCCCTATCGTTAAAGAGCAACTGTGTAAAGGTTGGGCCAGTACCTATGTGAATGTTGAACGCATTAAGGGGTAGTCTGGGAAATACGTAAGAGAAACAAAGTTCCACAAAACCCGCGAAAAGCAATTTACAACCGCCGTGGGTATGCGATACGAAGACATACTAGTTTACGGCTACAGTTTATTTGGGTCTTCGCTCATCTTGATTAACATCTCCAACTCTTTAGGTTTCCACCGAGATATAGTATTTGGTCCTAACCAAAATGGAAAAAAAATGAGAAGCTAGGACTACAAAGTACTTCTAAACGTTAAGATTACCCTCAGTCATACCATTTGTTTTTTTTTTTTCACTGGAACTAATTAATCGTCCCCTCCCCAAATAAAATCCGTAAACAGGACAAACGTATTCTTTTGATAACGGAACAACCATAAGGATGAATTAAAATTAATATTGGCTCTGTTTTGTATACGTAATTTAACGAAAAAAGAATAACGAGAGTCTGTAAATCTTCGCTGGGTGGGGAAGTTAATGAGATGACTCGAGATCTACGAAAATAGGGTTTATGTAAATGTAGAAAAAGATATTGATGATTAAATATTGGTATTAAAAGCTACAGTTGTGCACAGTAATATTAAATTAGTGGTAATTATCAGTAACCCAATTACGTAAATTAAAATGCATATTTTGCTTTGTCAAGGCGAACAAAAATAATGTTAAACTTTTTTTTTCTTTATACGTATGTTTCCACGCTGCTTTATTAGCCATTTTCATTATTGTAGACTAGTTTAATTTATCTTATTTACATTTCATGTAAAAGCTTGTTAATTTTCTTCAATAAAATGTAAAGATAGCAAATCATCGGCACTAAAAAGATTCTAAATTCGATTCATGAAATGTTCATGTTTTTATGAGGTAAAACATGGAATGAACGAAAAAATGAGAAGCGAATTGGATACAAAATGCCTCGCAGCCGAACGATACCTTTTTTATCAAATTTATAATTCATTTAAGTACATAAACATCATATAGCTGTTTGTAGGTTCGTTATTTCTTTCACTGAAGCATAACACTTTTATTGCAGCTTTTAAATATTGATTTGATGAAGTGTTAAATAGCTATAAAAGTTAATTGTGTAATTTAATTTGCGGTTTTGTTTGTTTCTATTACGAGTTTCATCGTAACAAATAGTAGGTGAATTTAAATAAACACCAGTAAGTACATTCAATATTTTGATATCGTTTAAAAACGAAAAATATTTTGGTATTCATATTTTTACTTATGTAGGATGTTCTTAAAATGTGTATATGTTACCGGAAATGTATACAATCCCGAGGCTATTTAGAAAATGTATAAAATATTGTTTCAATGATTTAATATAAAACACACATATCCTCGGAAATGTATATATTTTCTAGGAATTGTATGATATTCCGATATTGTACTAGGAAATATATAAAACTAATGCTATTTGTGAATAAAATACTTTAATATATCTGGCCTCCGGGGTGGGCTGTTATGTTAGAGTATTTTATTAACAGAAAACATTAGTTTTATACATTTCCTAGTACAATATCGAAATTTCATACAATTCCTAGGAAATTTATACATTTCCTAGGATATGCGTATATTAAAAAATGTTTAAAACAATATTTTATAGTATTTCCTAAATAGCCTCGGAATTGTATACATTTCCTTGAAATTGTATACATACAATTCTTAGATTTCATACATTTCGGGTAACGTATATTAAGAAAAAGTATGTACCGCTCGATCATATGAGAAATTCTTATGCAGTTAAACAATAAATTAAAGGCTATATCATCACAAAATTGAATAATATCTCCTTTTTCTTCTCTGATTCTTCCAGTTCATTTCAATAAATCTCAGACTCAATTCTTAAAAAATCATAAACTGCTCATTTCCGATATTTTCAGGAAAAACATCTAATCCGTTAACAGTCACCCGCATTAAAAAATATATTGAAAGAAAGCTGGTTTTTTATAAATGTAGGCAATAATAAATTGAAACAGAAATTTGTTATTTAATTTTTAGTCATTGTCAATTTTCTTGTATATTCAGGGCCGAGGAATGGGAGTAGTGACGTTCCCGACTTATCATCGTTGCCTGGAGGAGAAGACATGGCAGGTTTATGGGCACAATATCATTCGGCTTTAGGTTTAGCAAAGGGAAAAGCGACACCCCCTACGACGCGAGACCAATCTGTAAGTGTATTTTCATACAAAAATCAACCAAATAAGAAATTAGGCGAGTGTCATAACAAAGGCAAAAATTAATGTAAAATTTCAAGCAATTGTGGAAATTCGATCGTGTTCAGGAGGTTATTAGTGAAGTTTTTTGATAGCATAAATCATGAGTTTAGGGAAAACGCTCACCGTCGTTATTTAGGGCTTCTAATAGTTTCCTAACCGTGCAAAATATTTAATTTAATTTTATAAAAAGAAATTCCCTGCCGCTGAAGCGCTCAACACTGCTACCTCTAAGCGGTACTCGACATTGTCTCCCCGTTAAGGCCGACACGGAATTGTCGTTTTAATAGGAAGATTAAATACTTGTTATCAATCCTTTTGTTTTGTGATGTGACATTCGAGTTCGAATATGGGCGGAAAAATAGGTAAACAGTATAGAAACACTAGCATTGTGTTAAAATTGGCTTCCGCTGTAGGTTTTTCTAACAATGCAATAGTTGTTGACCTCCAACGATGCATTTTCAATTCAATGGACTTTGAAACTATTTGGTTTTACGTTAAATAATCAGGTATTTGTGAGATATTTCTTAAACTCTCAAAACTGCTTTTGTAGTTTGATTCCATTAGATTTAAAATTTAAACTGTCTACTACAATATAAAATAGAAGTTTCTCTGTGTCATTTTTGTGAGTTCAGTACTCTCTGGGGATCGTTCTATGGTTTTCGATAAGGTGCATCGTTAGTTCTGCATTTTTAATAATCATATTACATCGTCGTAGAAAAAGGAGTTCCTATACCTTAAAAGCATAAGAAAATAAAGACTTCTAGAGTTTTTGTTGGCTTTTGCAGGGTTCTGCGAAAAAAATCGCACAAAATTTGAAGATTTTGAAAAATTCCTTGTTCTTAAGGTTTGGCTGGAATTTTTTCCAATCCCTAAGAGTTCTGTCGAAAAGTCTTCTTGTACTTTAGTATGAACTTGACTATTTAAAACATAATTGAAAAATAGTGGTACCTAGTTCTTAGTAGAACTACACCAGGTTGTACATTTTTTCATACTATAAGCAATATTTCCACCCCAGAACTCTGGGTGGTGGTCATTTTTCGATTCTAAACGAGATATCTAGCATGCCACAATCCTACAAAACACAAACTCGTACGAATTATGACTAGAAGTACCCCCTGACAGACTTATTTTCGCGGAATTTCCGTTGGAGAGTAGCAAGTTTAAAAATCTACTCCACCTGAGTATATCACACCTAAGAACTTCGAACGACCAGAACCACACTTGATTGACTGTGTTAGAACCTTGCTGACTATTGTTCGACCGAAAACGATTCCGAAATTATGATAATGTTGGTCGAACTTCCGATTTTACTAGAATTATGTTCTACACCTACTTTTCATATATAAAAAGTAGGCATGCTCGTATAAAGGTCTGTGGCTGTATTTTCGTTAAAGAGATCTTGTTTCGCAAATTGTACTTACTTTCCTACGAAATAACATGTACTTACATGTATATTTGCATTTGTATGTATGTATGTATGTATGTATGTATGTATGTATGTATGTATGTATGTATGTATGTATGTATGTATGTATGTACGTATGTACTCATGTGTACTTCAAGTTTAACCGTTTTTCCTTTTTCAGAGTCCAGTGAATGCCGAGACAGGGTCAGCCCATGACGAAACCAGTTCCAGTGGTAACAAAGAAGATGAGGACGACGATGATGATGAGAGTGATGACAAAATTGACACGCAAACCCACGATCCCGAACGATTGAAAGCGTTTAATGTAAGTCAAAACCCCATAACGTGACCTCTGTTTTCAAAAAATCGTTTACAGCATTTTAAGTAAATAGTTTTTGTTTACAATGTCTAATAAATAATGATTAACAAGATTAAAGATGATTAACCATCTCAATTTTGCTTACTTGACTAAAAATCATATTGTTTCGCTTTATTGAGGAGATATCAAATGTATAATAAAGTTACTTTTGCTGAAGCCATTGTAAAGCGAAACATCTGTTAAATGTTTTTAACATAATATTGTAGAAATTAACGTTGGAGAATGAATTATCCATTTAAATAATATATTTCGTAAATTTTTAAATAATTTAATGCGAATTAGACTTTTACGTATTCTTCTGTTTTAAATTAGGTCATTCGACATTTATGTTACTTAAATCTCTGGTACTTTTAAGTGAAATACTACCTATACGCACAATATCGATTAAACCGCCTACCGCTATTGTTTAAGTACTATATGCAATAAATACGGCCAATCTCTTGTTGCATACAAATTTTACACATATAAAGGGGACAAAAGTCAGATTACGACATCTATAAAGGTTGATACTCCTATAATACAAAAAGAAATGATTCACACATCCTCACGTGTCTATTATCTTTCGGGGACAATTCATGAAAATCAAATCACATATTCATTTCCTTTGATGGTTTCGTCTAACATGTATTCTACTCTTCTGAATTATTTATCACAAGTTGAGGTCACTATTAATAAAACATAGGCAAGTACCTAAAAAAACGTAGTAAATCTTCCCTTGAAGCGAGAAGGATTTGACCCAAAATAGAGAACTGAAAAGGTTCGAGAAAAAAACATCGGCCGCAACTGTTACAAAATTTATCTAAAACTCGTCCCTGATTATATAGCGAAGATCATGGAAAACAGTCAACTTTTTGTCTTTAAATGTACAATATTCACGCGCATTTTGCGACCCATGAGATCATTATATACCTCTACCGTAGGAACAGCAAGTTAGTAGAATATTCTATTTCAGATGTTTGTGAGACTTTTCGTCGACGAAAATTTAGATAGAATGGTGCCAATAAGTAAACAACCAAAAGAAAAAATCCAAGCTATTATCGACTCTTGCACGAGACAGTTCCCAGAGTTTGCCGAAAGAGCGAGAAAGCGAATAAGGACATACCTAAAGTCCTGTAGAAGAAACAAGCGCGCTAGAGATCCAAATTCAGGATGGGATTCAGTAAGTTTGTTTTTGTTTAAATGCATCTACATATTTTTTATTTTTTTCAAATGCGATCAGTATTTCATCATCGTAAGGTCGTTCCTCCTAACACTGGTTGGACACGCATTCCGTTCTATCCTAAGCTAATCTTTGCAGTTCCCTAAAATTAGAACATCCCACATCCTTCACTATTTACAAACAGTAATCTAATCTAGGTCTACCCCTACTCTTCTTAACTCCTGTTTCTGCCTCTAATATGTCTCTAAGTAGCCCTGAGGTGTCCTACTTTCTTATTGATTTCCAGAGAGACCTCTGTTCTCCTATTCTTTTTAATACCTCTTCATTTAGAACGCTTCTAACCTTTTCTTTTCCGCCGCTCTCACCGTCCATGTTTCGCATCCGTACAGCGCCGCGCTCCAAACATACAATCGTTTTCGACATTCTAAATAAATTTTTCGCGAGCATTTCTTTTTATTGAAGGCGACTCGATCCTGCTTTGTATCCCTACTACTCCTTCCATCCTGACTTATCTCACTTCCTAGATACATAAAATCAGGCACTTCTTCTAATCTTTCGTCTCCTATCTTTATATTCGGTCTTTCTCTACTTCTTCCCTTGCATACCTGTATTTTTGTTTTACTTTTATTTATTTTCATACAATGCTGTTTCGTCAATATCGCTTCCATTTTATTTAAAGCTATCTCTAACTCCTCTTTGCTAGATGCTAATACTGTTATATCCTCTGTAAATCTAACCATGCCAATCCTTTGTCCGTCCTACTGTCCTGCTGTTTTCGTTATTGTAAGGGATTATTTTATTTCAGACTCGACCCACACCAGCCCATTTAACATCTGTACAAGCAGAACAAATTTTAGCTACAGCCTGTGAAAATGAAAGTCATAATGCCAAAAGAATGAGATTAGGATTAGAACCAGTTAGTCAACCAATGCCTGTTTTACCAGGCACAACTGTAAGTGATTCGACTTGTTTATATTACTCCTAATAATTACAATTTTATTTCATTTCGGTTGATATGTACTTATACTGTAATATATTTACGGTTTTAAATTGTAATATAATCTTACGTTTATTAGGATTTATTTGGGCGGTTTAGCTTAAGGGTTTAAATGAAATTTTTTGTTTATTTACGTTTCCACTTTGATTAATTTTCGTTTCCAGACTACCGATACAAGTGCCCCAACCAGTAGAAGTTTAGACCTTCCCGCAGGAGGAACTCCCGTTAAATTAGAAATAGATTCAGCGTCTGGTGCATTTCCTTCATCAACTACACCTTCCTCTACGCCCAACTCTATTAGCAAGGGATTATCACTTACACCAGATATTAAACCTACTTCACTGAGGTAATTTTTAAGAGATTTAAACAAAAATTGTTCGCAACGACTTGAAATGCACTACATGTTACTGATTCAGAAATAAAATATAAATAATGGCAATAGGAAACAGATCGAATTTAAACTCATATTTATCTATAAAGTTTAATATTCAGTAATTTGTGATTAGGGAAATAGAATTTTTGCTGGCTTGTAATAAATGCTGGCTTTTTATGGATTTTTGTTTGCTATTAAATAATTTCAAAATCCCTCATAAAATTTATTTCAGCATGTCATGCGGGGGTGGAATTCCCGTCAATGGAATAGGGTTATCAAGTACACCTGGCGCAGCACCCACGGCTATGTACCGCCCCAATTTTTCTCAGGCATTTCAAAGAGCTGGCCCATATCCTTTGTTTCCGGGACAGCCGTTTACTACCGGAGCACCACTGCTAGCAAATGGTAGGTTTTCACTTTGCATACAAAAATATTTAGCAGAAACAATTTTTGAAGGGTGTTAAAGTTGACGTGTGATATTTTCATGGTTAACATTAGTAATAGGGGAGACCGGGGATGGTTAACTAGTAGTTTTTTACTAAATAGTTCATATTTTTTTTGTTTTAAGGTATATAGACAAGAAAAGCATGCTAATTGATAGAAAATCCATTAACCTAATAAAAATATGTAATATTTAGTTCTTAGTTTAGTATAATAGTGATGATTTAATGCATTTTACAAAATATTAAATCTTAGTCAATCTACCCCTGGCCCGGGGTAGGTAGACCATATGCCCGGGGTAAGTTGACTCATGTACCAGTAAGAGTCAAATCATGAGAAGGAGCAAATAATTAAACATTTTTTTAATATAATTGAACCTTTTGTTAAAAAATAAACTGGCTAAAGTTTCCTCTTCTAGATTAGTAAAAATTTGTCAATTTTTTATATATTCCACTGTGTCCAGGGTTAATTCTGCTCTCGTCAATTTCGGATTCTGTTCTAATTTTTCTTTTAATTTGGCCACGTAACGATTTAAAAGTCCAATAAAAAGTTAATTTATGTGTTGTTTTCAACTACATATTTCATTGGGGTTGGTTGAATAATTATTCAACCAGCCCCGAAAAAAATTGGTCTACCAACCCCAGACGCCATTTTTAATTTTGATCGCATGGCTAGCCTAAACACTGCCGTTGACTTGAAAAATAAGATATGAAATATGATAAATGTGCCCTCATTAAATGCTAGGACTAATAGAAAAATGATTTACATAAAACGAGTAGGCATCAGATCAAAAAATACAATATATCAAAATATTACTTATGTAATTGAAATATGAAGAACATGTCAGTGTTCGAAAACAACGCACGACCGCGTTGTGACACTTCAGACAACTGAGCGGAACGCGAAATGTAATGCTTGGTTATGACCCCTATAGTCAACTATCCCCGGTCTCCCCTAGGGTAAATTCTCTTGAATTGAAATGCTGGACATGTATATGTAAGACAATTAGGCGAAGGAATATTTGATACTTTCAAACGCGAGTTGATTTTTTACACGGAAATTCAAAGTGGAACAAAAAACTGATAGATCAGTAACTGAAATCAGCTAAAGTTGCAGATCTAAAGCACTTAATCGATCACATCGATTTTTAACTCGTTTTTTTGCTTATTGAAGGGCCTACTGATTTAAGTATGAAGCAGAAACCTTTACTTAATCACAAATTAAGCGCAGCAGAAATGTCAGCGGTTCGTCAGTTGATAACAGGGTATCGTGAATCCGCAGCGTTCTTGCTTCGATCAGCGGACGAGTTGGAGCAACTTCTACTTCAACAACAATAACATATTCTTTAAATTTCAAGTAAAAAAAGGCAACAGTTAAGTGTTTATGACTAATTTCTTTTAGATAAGGAACCAATTTAATTTTTAATTACTGTAATCAGTAAACGCGAAACACATTATTTCCTGTGGAAACGTTTAATGTCTTTTGATAGTCCACAAAATATGCATATTTGTGTATAAATATATCTGTACACTAAGCACCAAACAATTTACACCAAAGATTCTGCGTAATATTTATTTCTCAAAATTTTGACTTCTACGAGTTTCTAGAATCTCAAAGTTATGAAAAGAATGACATACTGACAAAAAAAATATTTGGTGACAAGTGTGGTGCTGATTGTATATTATTGATGCAATTTTTTATTTTCGTTTCTCTTTTGAAATCTATTTTGTCTAGTCTATATTATATTTAATTTGAAGGAAGTGACTAAACAACCGGCCGGTTGGAATTCTAGTGTCAAGAACTAAAACAACCGACCACTTGGTCATACAAGTTCTGATACTTTAGCTCATATAATCGAACCAATACGTGGTTCATTGCTCACCCATCTCACTAACCGGCTCGGGTTCTAACCCCCGCCGATCTTATGCTTTCTTCATCTGAATTCATGTTTATTTTTTACTAATCTCATTTTTCTTTCAAATGTTATGATATACTTGCAGTTTCTTATGGTTAGTTTAGGTTGCCATGATTATCTCCAATTGAATATATGTATAATTAAATCGAAAAAGAATAAAATTTAGTTTTGTTCCGAACGACAAACAGGCGTTGCTGCAGCTGCGCTGACTTACTATTGATTAATAATATCCTATAAATATAAATTACCGATTTAAGCAAATCAAGTTAAACCGTTTTACCTTCTTTCTTTAGTAATTTATTTAAATCCCCCTGAATTTTTTACCCTTAACACCGGACGTCCCACTGGTAGGTTGTGTAGTTGCTTCCTAATTTAAAACGTTAATGCTACTCTGATATATTTTTGAATTGAAGATGGAGCGGTTGAAACCACAAATTGGATTTGAAAAATTCACAAACTTTCATGTACAAAAGAAAATAATGTTTCCTATAATATATATTATCTACTGATGTAAGTAAACTTATAGCTGAAAAAAAATACAGGGAAATGTATTTAGACTACTGTTGAAATTTATAATGCAAAATTTTTATTAATTAATAACTATACCAAAGAGAATTAATTGTAAATATGTCTTCTATTTGTGAGAATCCTTCTATATACAAGTGCAACTATAAACAGTCTTTAATGTAGCTTTATTATTATTTTTTTATCGACTTCATGTTAAGTTATTGTTCAGGTTAATTAAAAATGTAAACTCAATTTTTTGCTATATGTATACATTTGTTTTTAGTCAAGCTTTTGAGTGATTATCGTATAGTCGAATTAGATTTCCTTTTCTTAAGAGAGCTAGATATCGATCAAAACAAGGAGTTTACATTGATCTGAGCAAATATTTCTGTGATTGTTACAGTAAATGTAAAGAAAATTGAAAATAAATTTAATTTTTTGTAAACGCTACTGGTAAATGTGTAAATTTAATACATTCCATTGTATTTCTCTCAGTGTATATAAACATTAAATTAAATTGTATTTTAATCTAAATCACTGCCACATTTTGTGTATGAATAAAACAATAGATGAAATGTCGTATTATAATTAATTAAGTATAAACTTTACACACTTTTTGAAAACTATGTTAAGTGATTAACACGAAAATATTATCATAATTTAAATTTCGGAAATCTACATATTTCAAAAGTACTTTAGAATTTTTGTTGCGTTAAAAGTACGCAAAATTAGTTAAGGTGAGTTAGATGAATTTGTAAGTTCATGCTTTCTAACCGGTAAGTAAAGATTTTATGTTCCTTTTTCTAATATCTAGTCTCATGACCGCACAGAAAACGGATAGAAGGAAATGAAAAACTTTTGGATATATCACATCCCGCATATTAGATAAAATGTTGCTCGTTAAGCCCTAAAATGTTTTTTATCCCACGATTACGTAAAATGCTATTTAATTTATTCATAATTTACGTATTTTTTCCCAACTTATACTTTTCTGTTTTGATTATTAATAAGACAAATATACACTGAAATTTTAAATTCGATAAAATGTGCCATCAGTATTAATGGGAAAATGGTTGAATACGGGTAAGTAAATACAAGTATAATTAAGTTAAATACTTCAAAATGTCTATAAAATTTTGCAAAGAAAAGTCGAAATTTATAAATCTCACTATGTTGCGGCTTCAATTAATATTTGTACATATATATATTCAATTTTGTTAGTGTTTATAATTTTTGTAAATATTTAATTTTGTTCGTGTTTTTTCAGGTAGTCAATATGTTGTATTCTATTCTAGTTGTATTCAATTTTAAGGCATTTATTTGTGTAAGTATAGGTAAATATTATTTTTCTTAGTATAGGTAACTCAGTAATTTAACAAAGAGATCGGACCAGGTAGGTCTCACAATATCAGTAATCAATGGAAAACCCAAGTCCGTAGCTACGTCATCACTTCGGAATGTACCGAAGATACCGGAGGGGTGCGTAGTGACGGCGAAGGGGTAATGTGTACGATAGGCGTTGCCTATTTTGTGTCAACGTTATTTAAACAACGACAATTCAAACTTTTAGTATTCGATATTCAGCATTCAACATTCGATATTCAGCATTCAACATTCGATATTCAGCATTCTACATTCAACATTCAATCAAATCGACATTCAAAATTCAGCATTCATCTATCAATTCAAATCAATCAACAAGTATTCAATTATAAACCATATTCAATATACAATAAAATAGTAAGTGTACATAGTGTATTATATTGTACAAAATAAACAACAAACAAAAAAAAATGATTTATTCGTCAACAAAATCCGAAAGAATATATGGGACAGTGGGCGAATACTGCAACCACCGAACACACTATCTTTATTTTGGGATTTCTAATTTGTTAATTATTAATATGACGTAAACGATTATTTTACAACTTAGAAATTCGCTTTTTTGATATCTGGCTGATATCGAATACGCCATAAAGTATAAGATATAAAAAATTAATCGCTTCCAATTAAATGTACCACTTAATTAATCAAAATATTTTCGCGAAGGTGTTCAATTAATGAGAAGAATATAACTAATAAGGTATTAGATGCTTTAGGTTCTTAAAACATTCCAGGTAACTTCCTTTCATAATGTTGTACATATATAGACTACATTTTATTGTTTTTATTTTATTTCAAATGCTGACTTACATTACTGTAAGTATTCTTAATTCATTTAAAAACCTGTTTAACTTGAATGTACTTAATTATAGAACGAGAAATATTTAGCACATCTATTTATATGTCTACCCATTTCGTTATGGAATAATTATGTACAAGTTGGTTCACTTTTTGAAACAAATTGGCTTTCATTAACTTTCAGAAAATATTAAAACAATTCACATTGTGCTAATAAATGAAATTGTTACCTTGCCATTAAATAATTTCAAAATACCTCATAAAATTTATTTCAGCATTTCATGTGAGGGTGGAATGAAATGAAATTGTTACCTTTGCGCATATACCTTAAACAAATCGTTAATTTACTACACATTATTTAATATTTTTCATCTACCTGGTGTTTATAGCGGGTAAATTATTAATAGGTTGAATATCTACACAGAGTGTAATAGTTATTTGATTTTTATTTTATAAGTATGACAATCTAAATTTACGTATGTAAAGAATTGTTTTCGAAGGAGGGAATACCCATTAGCGGGAAGTACAAGAAAATAAATAAAATGAGACAAACTATTACCATAACAAATGTAGTTTTAAGAATTATGCACTAATTAATAACAAACTATTTATAAATTTAGAAATCGAAGAGGTAAAATAAATTTAAAAAAAAGGTTCAAAAACAAGGAAATTTTTATTTTTAACGCCTGCTATTTTACCTATTTTAATGTTAACTTATACTTGTGGATTCGGAAAACTACATAGGTACGTTAATTAAGGAGAATAAAATACTTATTTGTATTTGATTTTTACTCACGAGTTCCTGACTTTTGTTAGATGTTGTAGGTATAGTTTATATACACAAATTTGGTGTTTTAATATTGCAATGTTGTAATGTATAAATATATTTTTTTAAAAATTATAACAAAATTTACTTTTTTTTTGTTTTTAATGTAATGTGAGTTCAACTAGGAAATATGGTGTATATCGAAATAGGTAACATTTCTGTATTTTATATGTCTTTTACAAGGAAAAGAGAAATTTATGTCCCTGATGGTCTGATGTACATATTTGTCCATCAGAAGGTCATACTGAAAACGATATTCTCGTAACTGGCATAGCCTACAATGTTGACTCTATTCAACTAACATCGAAAATATTGTATAAGGAAGACTACAAGATTAATAGTACAAATTGCATCTATCAGAGTATCAAGCGAACGTTTAACCATTAATGCCTGATTTATGATTTATTTAAAATTCTGACTTGCTAAATATACTATTAAAAGGTGAATAATGTTATTAACCCACGTACGATAATAAAATATTTTCCATTTTTGTAAGTTACCTCCAATAAAACGAATCCTTGGTGTTATGTTGATTTGTTAATAGGATAATAAACTTCATTCAGCGATAACCGCAACAATGTGTTGTCCTTAGGAAATTTTTCTTGGATTGTCTTTTCTCGTTTAGGAAAATGTTTAGTGGTTTGTATCAGAGTAGTGTTAGGTAACAATTATTTATTTAAATGTTACTTATTTAGTCGTATAGATACAGAAGTGTGCCAGGGCATGTTCTCGCCGTGACATGTCTATTTGCATCTGTATTACAGTAAATGTGTTTAATTCGATGATTATGTACAATTGCCAGTTGTTATCTATAATCACTACTAAGTTTGATAAAGGTAAAGAATTCACAAATATTTATCACTTCGTGTGTGTTGTCTTTACCTACCGCAATCTTATGATCCTAACCTAACCGAACCCAATGGATTGATTATAATCATTAGATTCATCACAAGAAAAAACGAACGAAGAACAATTCATTACATTAGTGGCAATTATGTGTAATGTCCGGTAATTTTACCGTAACATTTACACGAACGAATTTCAAGCAATTTTTTCATCCCCTTATTTTGATTTTGATTATTATAAGCATCATACGAAACATGAAGACCTTTAAACACCCGTAATCTTCGATAAGACTTAACCATCCAACTTCTAACTAAATGCAATAAAAGGATTAGGATCATTCAGGATTGTCTACACTGATGAACATCTAAGTCGTTAAAATTTGTAAACTACTTTCCTTTATCCTTATAAATATTATAAAAATTTCGCAACAAAAGAAACACATGTTACTCCTTTCTTTCCTGTAATTATCATGTTTTTGGTGAGTTATCTTATAATATTCCACACACAGTAAAATACACAATTACATTTTAGTGTAGTGATGAGCAAAATTGGTCTTGGTTTTGTAGTTTTTATACTAGCACGACCAACACCAAGACCGAACGAACAAAACCAAGACTGAATATGAATGACCAATGGCAAATCCAGAAGACTAAACGAAAAATTATTATTTCCGATGAATTTATGAGTTAAACAATTTAAAACAACTTTAGTGTAATCTTTTCTTGGAACAAAACATTTTTAGTATTTTAAATTTTCATTTTTCTTTACTAGATTTTAAGACCAAATATATAAAAAAAAGAAACTTTACCACTGTATTACAAGAAAGTAAAGAGAGTGTTATTTGTTCCTATGTCTGGATAAAACATGGTTGAAATATAGAAACAAACTAATTTTTTTCGATATTTTTTACTTCTTTCAAGTAACTTACAATATTTTTTTTCGCTAAAAGATCAATTTATGCATTAGAGGAAAGATCAATTTATGCTTTGAAGGAAGGGTAACTAAATCGAGTTTTCATAACTCTCACAACTACCGACACTATATTCCTTAAAGGGCTTGACAAGCCCGCATGTATGACAGATAATTTCAGTAGTTGAGATAATTATAATTCAAAAAAGACGTAAGAATCAGATTCAATAAGCAAGCACGCAAGATCAAGAACAAAACTAAAAGTATTTGAACAATACCACGACCAAGACTGCTCATCACTATTTTAAACAACCTTTTCTAGGAGAATACACACACTTTATGTACTTCAACATACATATAATCAACGTTTAAAGTATAAATTTAATAAAAACAACTTTATGAATAAAAAAGATGTCTGAACGTGAACATAAATTTTTGTATAATTTTCTTTAGAATGGCAAAAGTTATGATTACAAGGAGGTACAGTGTGAATTAATATTGCAGTTACAATTTATCAAAGAAAGGTCAATGTTGTAATATAGTGAACAGTAAATGCGAATACTATAATAATAAAATTAATAAAATAAAAAAATGGAAGGTGCAACCAGGATAACCGGGGATCTGGTTTTTACTTGGATAATAATTAACTTTTCTAAGATCTTTTCCAGACGAAACAAAAGAAAATCAG